TTAAAAAAAATATTTACTCTTGAATGAATTTTATCCGAGTATTATTAAATATAAAGTAGAACCTGACTGAATGATATTAACAATGTTATATCTTTTTTTACTATTTTAGTTTACAGATCCTTTTACCTATAAATAAGATTTTATGTGTTTTTAAAAATATTAATTAAATTTTCTCTCTTTAAAAGACTTGTGTCACTCTTACGTGAGGAGGATGATTTACAGGTCAAAATAGTAGAAGGATATGATATTTCTATTAAAACAGTATTTAAACCATTTTTTGAAAACCGATATATTTACACATCTTTTTACGTAAAGAAGCGATTAAAAGAAAAGGAAATTGGTAGCGCATGCATGTTGTAGGTCTTTTGCTCCAGAATTTGCTTCTCTTGGAGCTTAGCCAAGAATTTGGTTTTCCGAAGTTGCAGAAAAATATTTAATACCCGTGCTGTCCCAGCTAGCACCAAAACGACCCTGTCGTCTCACTCCCCATGGCTCCATAACAAAGAAGCCGCTTAACATTATGGGCCACATTTAATTTCATTGATGGGGACAACACCCCACTAGCTACTAGTTATTACAGCATAAATACAATGACAACATATTTTGGAAATCCAAGTTTTTCTTTTCTTTACTTTTTTTTATTAAACAATCATTGTCATGATTAAATATACGAATTCTTGATCGCTTTACAATTATTCCAAATGGCTCCAAATCTAATTAAAACGAGGGGGGTCGTGTTAGTTATTAGGATAATAACAAATAATTACGTTAAAAGCATATACAAAATCACAGAAGAATATATTGCCTTTTTTTAAAAATAAGGTATTGGTTAGTATTTACCTTGAAATAAATAGCCTGACTTGGCCAGTTGTAATGCTTAATGTAATTCACATGCATGATATTGATAGGTTTTGAGGGAGAAAGGTAGACATTGGAATCAATTTTATGCACCAAATATGATTGTTGGGTGGTAAATACAAGAAATTTTGAATGATTTAGAAAAGAACGTGGGAGAAGTATGTAAATATCTATCTGTGAATAATACAAGGTAATTAACCTCGTGAATCACATAGCCATGAAGTCATTAGATGGAATAGGTTAAAGAGGGAGGGTACGCTTTTTTGATTGATTTCATTTGATAGATATTCATTATGAAATGGTACATATCACCGGTGAGGTTAAAAGAATGTGGGACCTGTGGAAACTGTGGTTGTAATTAGTATCACCCACCTAAAGTTAGAGACATGAAGAGAGAGTTACTGCGAATATTTTGGCGTGAGTTGGGGAGGAGAAGGAAGAGAGCAATAATTAGAATGGGGATGGGAAGATATGGTTCTTCTGAAACTTCACAGGTATTTGATAGATGGATGGATGGATACACTCTTTAAGTTTTAATGGAATTTGGCATTTCATACATCTGAGCCAGCTGCTATTAAAGCCACCTTAAGACTTGGTGGTCCTCTGTACTGAAGGAAAATACCAATGATCCTACCTCATTACATTTCCTTTTCTTCATATTCTTCCTTTCACAAAGACCTTCAGTACAACCTTTAATTAATTTGAATTTTATTTTGATGGGATTTGTAAAATTTTTCATTTAAAATTTGTTTAAATAATTAATTCATATTATAAATTGATAATAATATCATCACAATAAGTTGAAAGAATTTTATCTTGAAAAGTATCCCAAAGAAACTTGTTAAAATAAGTTTTTTACTATATTTATTAAAATAAATTTCAAAATATAAAAACCATGAACCAATTTCATAAACTTAAATATTATTATGTTATGTAAAATATTATCAATAAAAAAATATTACCAATATATAATTATTTAAAAATATTAAAAATTGGTTAATTATTTCATAAATTTTTCTCAAGGAAAAAAAGTTTACTGGTGTAAAATATAAGGAGAGAGATGAGTAATTTTTAAAATTAAAATTACAAAGAAAAGAATATGAATAAAGCATTTGATGTTAACTTTAAATGTACAGAATGATATAGATATTTCTTTTCAATCATACCCTTACTTTTGTTTAGTTTTATAATTATTTTACAGCATGTCATAAAATCAAATGGTAAGTTGTTGAAAATCATAAGGATTAATCTTGTATAATATAAATGTATTTATATTTTTTTAATATTTAATTTAATTTGTAGATAAAAGTTGTTATTAAAATTTTTATTATTTTATATAAATTTTTAGATTCTTTATGAATATTTATATTTTAAAAATTATTATTATTATTGTATATATATATAAAATTTTAAATTATTTATAAATATATTTGTTTATATAAAATTTATAATAATTAATATATTATTCTAAATAAATTATATTTTAAATATTGAAATTTTATTAAATTTTTATTATAATATATTTATATATAATTATATAATTAAATAAAATAATTTTTTTAAAATCTAAAATTTTAAATAATTTTATCATATATTATATGTATTTTTTAAAATAAAATACTTGTGCATTCCACGTACTATTAATTAGTTTAACTAAAATATATTGATAATTTATAAAAAATTCTTATATTAATAAAAATAATTAATTTAAAAATCTTATATATATTATTATTTTAAGATCACATACTTTTTATTGGAAGATATATATTTTTTCTAATTATGTATAGGTAGCAAAATTTTCTTTTTCATTATTTAATATAATTGTAATCATTGAGATTAATAATATATTTATCTATATATTTTAAATATTTTAATAAATAGTTGATAAATAAAAATAATTGTTTTAATTTTTCATATTATCCATACTGGACGGATTTATGCCGTGACTTGTGGGCAGCTGCCCCCACAAGGTGATATTACATTTATAAGGTGATTATAATCACACAAGTTATTTGAATGTCTAATCTTATTATTTGTTGTCCACAAAATTTAAAATTTATAAAGCTATTTATGTATCTATAGAAGAGAAGAGAAATTTTTGTATGAGACACGATTTAACATTAAATATAAATATTTATTTTAGTATAATTTTAATTATAATCTTTCACTTTGTATAAGATTAACCTTTTATATTAAATTTTTTAAAATAATAATAATAATAATAATAATATATGAACAAAGTTAATTACATGTTGAATGATTAAGGAAGAGACGTATAAAGGGTGCATTATCCAGATACTAAACAAGGACTCCGTATTTGATGAGGACCACACGAATCTTCCCTTACCTACTGGCCGGACGAAAGAGCCTGCATCTCATCGGAGTATAATGGTCTGCCAATGTGTCCTCTGTCCTACTTAGCTTTAGCCACTCAATTTGCAGCTCAGTTTTATCTTTTTTCTTTTTTCTTTTTAATTATTTGATATAGAAATATAAAAAACAATATATAATTTCTTCTAAATGTAATATTCAAAATTAGTTAAACTATACTGATACCTTATAATTTAATTTCAACACATTTATTTTTCAATGTTTTTATTTTAAAATTAATTTTGTGTTATATGACATTAATTTATTTTTTAATCCAAAATTAAAGTAAATTTATTGGGAACAAAAGAAAAAATCAGAAAAAATAAACATTATTTAAACAGACAAAATTACGAAATTATTAGTTCAAAAAGAAAAAGTACTCAAAAAATTATTATAAATATATAATTGGTACAGTTTAATTTAATTTTAATAAAAAAATTAAAGAAGCATAAAATAAAATGATTTTTTTATTTTAAATTTAATCTATTTTTAAAATTTCACATCAATTTAGAGGTTGATAAATATTAATAATATATTTTTTATTATTGGTTAAAGTTTATTAAAAATTAAAAAATGATAAAAATATTAATTTAAGAATAAAAAACAATGAAATGCATTTAATTTGTATAATTTTTAAGTTTTAATATAAAATATATATTACAAATAATATGTACGGAAATGTGTGGATAGGTTTGAAAATTCATTACACACTAACTGCATCTACAATAAGAGGGCAGTTTACTTGATATGAAATTATAATAAAACGTTATTAATACTAAGTTAATAAATCATCTCGAGTTTGACTCACTTTTAATATACATGTATAATACCCAGATAGTTGTTAATAACTGTCGAATCTATCATGCATAAGTAGTGGATAATATTTTCATCAATATTTAACAATTCATATTATAAATCGATGTATACAGTTTTTTTTTTAATATAAATGCTTTTATAAATATTTTATTAAGTCAAGCATTTTCTATTACATAAAATGTTTTATTTATTTCAAATGTTATGGCTTAAATTTAGTTCAAACCAATTTAAATTTGAATTGAATTTTAATGTTTGATAATAAAATTAAAAATATTTAAATAAAACAATAGCATTAAATTATAGTAAGAAATTAGTTTATAATTATATAACATCGTATTATGTTATGTTACTAATTCTAATTTAAACCATTTTAATAATATATACTATTTATATAAAATAAAAGCAGGGACCAAATAACACGTTTAAGTTACACCGCTAATAACTTGATATAGAATCTACAAAATATTTGTAGATAAATTCTATGGTACCTTTAACAATTTTTTCAGTATTATATAAATTTTTTTAATTTAATACTTAAATATATAAATTATATAATAATATATTTTTTATAATTTATCACAAGTTTTTTTTATTGGTATAATTTTTTGAAGTTGTCATCCATATAAAAATTTGGAGGCATCACAGTACATACCTTAGTATATAAAAAGTTTCGTCTAAATTGAAGAATTAAGGAAAATAAAAAAATGTAATTTTAAAGGTACATATTTAATTGAAGGGAATTTTGTGTCACAGTAAAAAAATAACACTTAAATAAAAGAACTATATTTCTAAAAGATTATAATAACTTTAAAAATAAAAAAAATAAAGTATAACACTGGAAAAGCAGGATAAATTAAAACTAAGCTTTGTAATTAATGATTAAATAATGAATTTACTATGATTAAAATATTAGAATAAGATATTAAAATTTAGATAAAAAAATATTTTTAATTTGAGCATAACAATGTCATTACATTACCTAATTTTTATAATGAAAGAAACTTACAAAAATAAGAAGAAGAAAAAAACACTTAAAACAACAACTTTTTCAAGACAAATTCTAATAACTAAGGAAGAAATTGAATTAAAGCAGTATATTAGTGTTTGACGAGGAAACCCACATGAGAATGTTCAAAATCCATATAGCAGCAGGATAGAAAGTAAGTTTCATAGCTAAAAAGTGAATAAAATACAATGTAGACTGTTCAAAAATCCCTGTTACTTGGCCCATACATTGGCATGTGGCATTGTTGCTAAGGATCCAAATTTGATTCTTATTGGACTTTCCACAGTTCACATAGCCTTGTTGTCACATTTTTTGTTCTGATAACAGAGTAGAATAGAATGAAATTGAAGCGAAGAATGATTCAGACTCTGCCACTCATAGTTTTACTCTCGAGGGCATCGGGTTATTTTATATTTTACCTGTCATATTATTTCTGCTCTGTGGTTTTCTCATTCTGCAAATATTTATACACTCCATATCCAACCCCTCCAGCAACAAACAAGAAAACTGTAGGGGTAAACGATGGGTAGAGATACTTGACAAAAAATGTGTCCCACTGTTCTGGTAGGAAGCCTGCAAGAACAGATTAAGAAGTCAGCCACAATATTATAGATATAAAAAAATAGATACTAATTTCCAACTACAAAATATTACAGTTCCTTATATTTTATTATATGAAATAAATGTCATAGAAAGAGGTTTGGTATACTGTATTTAAATTCACATATATCCAGCTTCAAACTTTAGCAACAGACAAAAGCTTTGAGCATCTTAGTCATGGAAATTTCTCAACTTTGTATTTCTGAGAGTTTTGGGACAGATTTAGGAAGGGGTGATACAAAACAGTAGTAAAGAAATAAGAGGAGGTGTTGTAAAATTTTGAAGGGTGTGTGGATGTAATGGGGTAGGGATCCTAGGTCAATGCGGTTTAGCAATGAATAGATAGAACTCTAATGGCCTCCATATTGAGATGATGTGTGGAATTTGGAAATCTCATGATGCCTTGACCACAGATTCTATGCCTTAGTTCTATAAATAGTAAGGTAAAGAAGTTACAGGTATTGATTAAAAATTGTATTGTTAAGATTTACATAACTCCATGATTAGGGTCAATAGGGAAGGGATATAGACTCTACTTTTGTGCAAGTCATTTCATTTCATGGCTTGCGATGCCTCGAGAATATTTCATCCCAAAGCCTGCTAAGTGGCATATTGGGTCAGAATTCAAGAAGGCTTTGTCAATTGTCATGGCTTGGCATCGTCTTCTTATCCTAATTTTGTCTATGATCCCACAGGACCAAAGTTAAGAAGATTGGGGTTTTGGGTGAGTTGAGTTTCCTATGTGGGTTCGTGAGCATGTCTTTGCATTGCACTGATTTTAATGCCGCGGGATTTCCTAATGAAAAGTTAGTATGAGGTAGAGTCACAGGCCACTGCCACTGCTGGGTTGAGTATGCTTGAAAAAGCAACTATTATTGTGGGAGATACGCTAATAATAATAATATACATTTTTTAACACATTTTTTTATTAGTTAATATCGATTAAAAATTTAAAAAAATGTCAACGCTACACTTAATTTAACTAGTCTTGTTATTAATTTTAATTAATACGAAGAACATGTTAAAAAAAGAGTACTAACATTTAAAAATAACACGAGAGTGAAAACCTACCGGATGCTGCAAGACCAATGCCCTGGACGAGAATAACGACGCCGAAACCGAGCCACGCAAGAAGAAAAGCACTTTCATTCTTGCTCTGCTCCTTATCTTGACCAACTTGTTGCTCCGAAACAAATGCGGGTTTTTCAAGTGGTGTTCTCCGAATTATGGAGGCCCTTTCTCTCTGCCCCTTCTGTTTCTGTTTTTGTTTTCTTTTACTGTTTGCAGGAACTGTATCCGACGACCCAAACCCCACCCCGGGCTTTGGGGAAGCAGAATCATCGGGTGAGGATTCAGAAGGCTTTTGGGATCTGATAGTGATAGTGAGTTTGGGTTGGAGTTGGATGGGAGAGAATAAGAGCACACTGTGTCGCACCGATGAGAGGAATTGCGTTTGCAGCACCATTCTCAACTGTGGCTGCAGCTCCACCACATCCTTCGTTTCCGATAAAGTCACTTCTTTTCTTAAAATTTATCTGTACATTATTTACACATGTACAAGTAACTACCAAATTTGTGTCACTGTCCCCTTGTGTTTTGGTGCACATGCTGTCTGTATTATTAAAATTCTCAGATTGTGTTATCATTTTTCTACAAAGCAATTCGTTATATTTTATAAATACTGTTATTATGCAAGTTATCTAGAATTGGATTGGTAAAACATTTAATATCATGTCTATATATCGGGGTCTTAAAACGTTTGTGCAGTCTTTTAAGTTAGTTGATATTTTCTTTTTTCTTAAAATTATTTGTTGACAAACATAATTAATTTTTGAGAAAAAATATGAAAAATTTAATTGGTTGAATGGAGTAATTCAAGATCTACAGTCTATTTGTTATTTTAGAACGAGATAAGTATAATTTTTTATAAATATTTTTAAAATTTTATTTTAAAGTAAGACAATATCTCAAAATTTTTACCCATTAAATAAAGTTAATCAAATGTGAGACTCGCCAAAACTTTAAAAACTCTTTAAAAGGAATTTATTTTTATTATTTAAATTAACTCATTTAAAAATAATATAATTTTAATTCTTCTAAAGGCGTGGTCTCTATAGAAAATATCAATAATTAAGTAGCTAATGGTTTTTTGTTTTTGATCGCCAAGAAGCAAATGGCCGGTATTATAAAAGAATTTGTTGGGCCCTCCTTAGGCGGTAGTATGGTTACTACTTTCCACGCAATAGTTTGGGCTTGGGCTTTCAGTTCCGCAGTCAACCTGTTGAACTCGTTACCGCTCCTCCTTCTATTTTCTTTTCTTCTTCTTCCCTTCCCATGAAATCAACCTAAACGACGACTGCGTTTTCAGCACCCAAAAGCTCTGTACCTTCTTTCTCAACAATGGTAACCTCTTTTCTTAATTCCATTTCCTTTCTTTTTATTCCCTCTTTCATTCGCTTACTCCGATTTTCTCCTTTTCGTATTTTAAATTTAGCTTAGATCGTTGCGAAATTCACAGTACAAATTCCATAATTCACCCTGTGGTTGCGTAAATTTGCGTAGAAAAACCGTAATGTTATTTCGATATTTTGATTTTCGAAAGTTTGGACGAGGATTCAGCTCATGTTATCGTGATCTATAATTTATGAGTGTTATTGTTTTGTTGGTTAAGGTACCGTGTTAGTGGTCTGGGGAATGGGGAGTACTTCTAATTTTTTTTGAATGTTGTTGAATGATTCTGACCTCAACTAATTCGTTTTTCCCGATTTCACAGGTTCTTCTACAGCTAGATCCATTTCTCAATGAGCTCACCAGCATGTTTGAACGCAGCACTGAGAAGGGCTCTGTTTGGGTTACTCTTAAAAGATGTGGGTGTTAATTTGGTCTTCGTGGTTAGGTTGGGTAAAATTTCTTCTTGTGTTTATATTTCTGGAAACTGATCTTTGTTTATGTGCCCCTTGTTGTGCCTCTTTTAGCATCTTTGAAATCTAAAGTGCAAAGGAATAAAATGGTGACTGCTGGTGAAGCAATTGAGTATAGATGCCTTATACGTGCCACTGATGGCAAAAAGACAATTTCTACTTCAGTACGTATCTTAGATATATATTTTGAGTTTGCTATTTTGAAGCTTGCTTTTAATAACATTTTGCTATTCATTGTTTACGGTGTACATATGTCAGGGGTTATCTTCTGATTGGTTAGGTGTTTAGTTCCTAGTCTGATTCCAATGTGCAATTTTTCTATTCTATCTGTAAACTGTAATGGTTAAGAGCTCTTGAATAGAGTAGAGTAATCAAAGGGGAATAAGTGAAAGGGAAAGAATTGAAAACATGCGAGTTGGGTATAGTCATTTGACCTTTTTCTTCCTCCACATTTTCTTTTAGTGACCTTGTTACCTTTATAAGTTACCTTGTCTGATATTATGAATCTATGGGTTGTTTTCCAAATTCTGAAAATAGGGTAGGTAGTTAAAATTTGTGTGGTTTCGAAATCTTGTATGTTTGGTAGTTACTCAAATTTGAAAATCCAGTTCCTATTTGATTGCATTTAACGTCAAAACGAGTTCAAATGTTTCATCTAACAAAATTATGGCTTCAAAGTAATCAACGTATATAAATAACGGTATCCATGTTTCGATCCTCTTTTCATAAACTAATTCTTCAAAATGGATTCACCAAGATACTAAACAATATTTGATGGTAAACTAGTTCTAAAATATATTTTAGACAACATAGATTTATTAAGACCAATTCTATTGTGTACAAGTTTATGAAACTGCAATTAACTTAAGTATTATGTCTCAATTTGTCCAACACCTCCTATCAATCTTTCATGTGTCGGTTCTTTTGAAGATTGCCTGATCTTTGGTTTTTATTATTGGATTGGACAATACAGTTGGAGGTTTAATTATATGGGGGTGGAGGGGATTTCCCCAACTGTGAAACTCTTCTATTCATTGTAGTACAGCTTGCTTGTGCAGTAAACTTTGCAGTTCGCTCAGGTTGTGAAATGTGTTCCCTATTTCGTTCAGATTTCTTACTGTTAGATCTTTTGGTTGTTTGTGCTAAACTCTAAGGGTCACTTACTTTTGGCACTTCTCATGAATGAATCACCCTGTCTGCCCTAGCTGATATTCTACATGGTTGAGGTCATAAAAATTTAATTAATGGAGTTCATTCATGCAAGCTTCCAGATGTATGATTAAGAACGAGTTGCTCTGTAAAATATCAGTGACTTAGTATTACTTTTCATACACTATCAGGATTACTAGTTTTTAGTATTTCAAAACTTATTCTGTCTAAATGAGTACTTTTTGTTAGTATAATTTTTGTAGAAAATTTTGAAGTGGATGTTACCTGAGTTCTCTGAGAACCTTTTGGCTATTTTAGCTTTCGACTTACTTCTGAGTTCATATAAGTTGTTTCTGCTTCTAATAATTTATATTACTGGGTTTTATTCGAAAGGTTGGACCAAAGGATCACCAGCGCTTTCAAGCTTCTTATGCAACTATATTAAAGGCACACATGACTGCACTAAAGAAGAGAGAAAGGAAGGACAAGAAGAAGCCTGCAGAGGCCGATAAAAGAGAAGGGAGTTCAAAGAGACCAAAGAAGTCTTGAAGTAATCTGGTTTTGCTACCTGATCTTCTGCACAAATTTCATTTTCTGTTGACTCTTTTTGTCTGAAGAATGCTAGACCCCTCATTTTTTTTGTTTTCATTAGCAAAGTGAGAAGGGAGAGGAAAGGTGAAAAAAGAAGACAAAAACGATAATTAAAGAATTCTTGCATTTTAAAGCAAGATTAAGGCGTGCAATTTGTCACTTTCATGCCTTTCTTTAGATGAATGTTCATTCAAGTGGCAATCTGTGAAAATTTTCTCGGTTCCCTTGGAGGTTATAAATTGAATTTCGTGGATATTTTATCTTCCTCAATTTACTTATTTCGTGTTAATCATCGGGCCCCTAAAATATTACTGAATTATTTGGTTTATTATTTGTTGCTTCATAGGTGGTGTATAGTTCATCGCTAAAATAGAATGGCACTCTTACGCGAATCATTCTTTTTTGTTAGATGCACTACTTATTGCAATTGCGTCATCTTGCTGCTTTTATTGTGTATCATCCAACGAAGTAGCTACATTAACATTGGCAAGTCTTACAACGCAGTGGATGACCCAACTTGGTAAATTAGGCTTGTGTTTTTGTTAGATGACTCATGATGCCCAACTTGCCGGGCAATCGGGTGATGTTTTTGGTCCACCCAGGTGTTTGTTTTATGATCAAAATCCAAAAGGTCGAGACTGCTGGGTAAGCCCAGAAATTAAAAGAAGGGTTAGCATTTCTGTTGTATTTTGCGACAGCACTGCTATTTTTTAACCCAAAAAACAAGGCACTGCAATTGTAGAAATCCAAGTGCTAATGTTAAAATGGAATGTTAGTTTACTTCCATGCTATAAAACTTGAATTTCAGAGCCGTGACTCTCAAGTTGGTCCGAAGCAAATTTGTAACTCATGTAGTAACAACTCCGGATATAAATGAATGGACTTATCTGTGAAGTATTTGAACTTGACTTGATAAATATTCAACTAAATGTGTTTATTTAATTAAGTAAATTCAAATTTAAAATTAGTCTTGGTTATTTAAAAGAGTTAAGTTTAAGCTTTCAAAGCTTGAACATTAATAATTTATGAATAGTTTATATGTGTGTGTCTATATATATATATATATATATATATATGTATTTACATAATTAGGATTTATTTAGTATATTTATTAAAATTTATATTTTCTTTTTATTATAATTGTGTGCATGTATTATTTATCTAATTTTACTTTATAAGAATTGCATTTTAAACGAGTGAATATAATTTTTTAAAAAGAAATATATTATTTTTATAATATTTTTAATTTTAAGTCATCTTTATGCAGATAAAATTATATTTTATTTTATCTTTTTAGCATAAAAACATTCATAAAGATTAAATTAATAAAAGATATTAAAATTTATTAAAAAATTATAAACAAGCTAATGAGGGAATTCAAGCTTCAAAGTTATTAATTAAGTCAAGTTCAAGCTTAAAATTTGATTCATGTAAATAATTGAATCAAGTTTGAACAATTTTTTTATTAGTGAAACATGAGTTTTAAATATTTGATTTGATTTATTTACACCTAAGTAACAATAATGAAAAAAAAAAGAAAAGAACTTATGTGCTTCCAATTATTTGCAATAATTTTGAGATTGATTGAAAGTGTAAGTATATATAAGCTTTTTAAAAACATTGATGCAACATTAGTGTTATGAACCGAACCTCACCAGCCAATTTGACTAGTGAACTGACTTGATAATTGATCTAGGTTGCTTATTAGAACATTTTTACATGATAATTGATGTGAATTGGCATTAAACTCGCTTTTAACCGGTCTCAAATTTTGCAATTGAATCAGTTTTGAATTTTTTATGTAAACATTATAGTAAAAATTGAACATATAGCTCCTTGAATATTTCAAGTATCAGTAATTAAATGACAATGAGTATATTTTGAATAGAGCATTATAATATCTGTATTTATGATTACAGATTTTTGAATTCTTTGTACTCAAAAACTCATTTGTGTGAGTGAAAAAATTAATCCCCGTATTTTTATTCATTGAATACCTATATACTGTATTTTGACCCATTAGCCATATTTTAGTTAATTTGAATGTTTAATATTAAACAAAAATGATTAACTTAATTTAAAAAGATTCAAATTTTAATTATAAAATATAATAAGTATAGGGTGGGTATGGTATGGATTTAGTTCGCATCCATAGCAAAAATTACATTACAAACGCAAAATCAATTATATTACTAATTATTTTATTTATCAGAAATCTATACATGTATATTTCACCCAAAAAAATTCTATACATGTATATGTATATGATTCAATTAATTCGATCAATGATTTATTGGTTAAACTAATGATCCAATAATTTAGTGCCTCAGCCGAGTGTCTAATCACTGCAATGTATGGTTGGTTTATGCTTATGACAATAGTGTGTACGTATATGGAGGTTTTGTGTTTGGTTCACTCTATTCCAACTCGAGTTCGATAAGATAAGATCCAAAAATTTGAAATTTTATGGTTATTTACGTATAAAACCTTTGGGAGTAGGGACTAGGTAATTTGGATGCGTGTGTGAAAATAGAAGACTTGTGACATGGGAGACGTTGGATCCTTATTCCCACACAAGACACGTAATATTGAATACACTTAGTTCGCGGGAAGCACGTTGATAATGCTTTTCATTCTTTAACGAACTGGGTTTCCTTTCCTTAACTGAAAATCCCGCTTCGTTGTCTCCATTTTCTCGCTTCCATTCCCGCGAGTTTCTCATCCTCTCTCTCTCTCTCTCGATTGATCCTTTCTTGATTCAAACCTCTCTCTCTTCACTCTCTCACACTCACCATGCCATGAAGAAAGAATCCCAAACTCACCATCCATGACGTCCACCCCTACGCCGTCGCATTCTTCGCTGAGATCAGACAACGGAGATCCCTCTCCGGGAACGCCGTCGGCTTTCGGCGGCAGAACTAAGCTCCAGAAAATACCTCCAATTCCAATTCGACGGACTAAGGCATCAACAAACGAAGGCCATGAGGAGAAGGAGGAAGAGGAATGCCATTCTTCCCTCTTGGTCGCGTCGTCTTTAGGGCTGAATCACATTCGCACGCGCTCGTCGTCTTCGCCTCTTCGCTATTCATCCTCGGTTGGCTCTCCTTCGTTCTTGACACAGGATCCCATCACTATCAATGACGCAAGACATGGATCCAAACCTTCCCATACCAAAGACCTAGGTCTACATTTCTTTTACTGCTTCGTCCAGTTTTAGGTTTTCTAATGTGAAAAACTAAATTTAATTATTGGTAATTTATGATTTCCTATATTATTGCTGATATAATTGATATCGTTGTTCTTCTTTGTGGGAAAAAAGCTCATTGGAATCATTCCAAATCGCTGAGAACTCATTCGCAGCTCATTCCTGTGCTAGAGGTGTGATATTATGTGTATTTTTTTACCTAGTTTGTTATTTTTTTTATTTGATAATAACTTTTTCGTGATGGTGTGTGTACTGAATAGTTGGAGAAATGTAGGTAGCTCAGGTTCATTGCATGTGTTTTGTACAGGGTCATCATGCAGCTTTCGCCAAAGAAATGCAGTCCCCTCGTTTTCAGGAAATCCTGCGACTTACGAGTGGCCGCAAAAAGAGACACCCTGATATTAAAAGCTTTTCCCATGAACTCAACTCCAAAGGAGTTAGACCATTTCCAATTTGGAAACATCGTGCCTTTGGGCACGTGGAGGTACTCTTTCTTTAGCTTCTTAAAGTTTTGCATCACTGTTCATTATTTTTAAAAACACACAAATTTCTTGAACACTTGTTTTCTCCCAAAATCAAATATTGCAGGAAGTCATGGCGGAAATTCGAGCTAAGTTTGAAAAATTAAAGGAAGAAGTTGACTCTGACTTGGGTGGTTTTGCTGGAGATTTGGTGGGAATTCTTGAAAAAAATTCAGGACGTGACGAATGGAAAGAGAGGTTGGAGGATCTGTTGGTCGTTGCTCAACAATGTGCAAAGATGTCAGCTACTGAGTTTTGGATCAAATGTGAATCTATTGTTCAAAATCTAGATGACAAACGCCAAGAATTACCAGTGGGGATTCTTAAGCAAGTTCATACGCGTCTACTATTTATTCTCACTCGGTGCACTCGACTAGTGCAATTCCAGAAGGAAAGTGGATATGAACAAGATCACATTCTGGGTCTTCACCAACTCAGCGATCTTGGGGTATATTCTGAGCAAATTTTGAAGGCTGCACAGCAGAATTCTATTCCACCTGGTAGACTTGAGGTGGCTGAGAAGCAGTTAAAAAAGTCACATGGAAAAGAGCAAGACAAACTGATAACAAAACAAAAAGTTGACCAACATGTACGTGGTGTGACTGACAGTGTGGAGGTTGCTACAGCCAAAAGTGTTGAATCTACTCCTGGCAGCTATAGGATGTCTTCTTGGAGAAAGCTTCCATCTGCTGCTGAGAAAAAGCGAAGAGGTCAAGATGCAGTAGATTCCCCATCCAAAGGTGAGCTGGATCGCTTGGAAGCCAAAGAAGAAAATGCTGAAAATTTGGATTTCCTGTCATGTCATCCTGAACCTTCACAGTCATCGTCAAGAGCACGAAAGGTTTCTTGGGGATTCTGGGGAGATCAGCAAAATCTAACATACGAGGATTCAATGATCTGCAGGATTTGTGAGGTTGAAATACCGATTGTACATGTGGAGGAGCATTCTCGAATATGCACCATTGCTGATAGATGTGATCTGAAAGGCTTAACTGTAAATGAACGGCTTGAAAGAGTTTCTGAAACCATTGAAAGAATACTGGAATCCTGGACACCAAAAAGTACACCAAAAAGCACTGATACTCATGGAGAAAGCTTTGAGGTTGTTACAGTGTCAACATCAAATGTACATGAAGAGTTAAATGATTTATCTCTAGAAAGAAATAACCTGACTTGTAGATGCTCTGACGACATGCTTGACTCTACTCAACCCGACAGTACTTTTGTTATGGATGATCTGCACCTTTCACATGAAATATCATGTCCAGCACGCATATCCTTGAAACCTGACCATTGCACAAAGGTATCATCAGCTGGAAGCTTGACACCGAGATCACCACTGGTAACACCACGAACTAGTCAGATAGAAATGTTACTAAGTGGACGAAGAACATTATCTGAACTGGAGAGTTCGGACCAGGTACCCCTACCACTAGTTGTTACTTCATGCACATTATTATGTGCAGAAAAACATTAC